AGTCTGACATCCCCCAAATCACATGATTCTGCTTGATCACTTTTTTCATCACACAGTTGTGTTTACACAACCATCACGGTAGGATTCAGTCTTCATCCAGAAACAGTCAAAGCTGGCAACATGCCACAGAGTGAGAACACTGAGCAGAACCTGGCCATGAAGCCCTCACTCCACACAGGAGGGCCCAGAGCAGGGAACCTCACTGTCTTGCACTTGTTTTCATGCCATTTTCCAAGTCCCCAGCCTCAATCCCTGCCACACAGAGTATTAAGCATTCATACCTTTAATTTATCTGTTACTTTTTTTTTGTAGACACAAACCCAGAATCCAAACTCTCAGGAGTATCTTGAGGCATTCTGTTGTGTAGCAGCCTTTCCAAGAGCAAGGCTGTAAACAGCTCCTAAATGTACAGCCCAGAGCAGAGAACAAAGACAATTGTTTGGCACACCCCTGAGAGCTTAGTGTTCTGTTAAGCTTGGCTTTAAGGACCCACGCTGAAGACCCTTTCTTGGGACAACCAGTCACAGAAAGTCAGCACTGATGGATACCACTCATTTTACCCTTTCTTGTATGGGTCTGTCAGGTAGAAGCAAAAGTTATTCCTTCATTTATCCATTTCTCTTCCTAGGAAGTCTTTGGACCTTGTTAAATAACTACACTAGAACACAGAGCCTTAACAGAGAGTGAGGTCAGAGGGCTGCTTCATTACCAGTATTGTATACTTTGTTATTCACATCAGTATAAAGAACAGATCAAAGGCTGCTGTTTCAGCCTGGGAACTGTATACATCCCCTATCATGAGCTACACAAGGGAGAAGTTTAGGGGAGTCCAAAACAAGGGTCTGATTCTCTCCTTCCTAGCTGTTTTGTAAAAATTAAAGAAACGAAGGAAAGCTTTGTTTTTTTCTTTAAGGGCTTTTAAACTCATCACAAAAACACTTCAACTAAGGTTCTTCAGATGTCTCATTCAACACTCTTCCTGCCAGCCCTGCTAGCAATGCGTTCAGAAACAAGGATAAATGAACCCCTAAAACTACCAGGCTTGCTGCTGTTGTTACATGAATTTGGGAGGGAGCAGACTATAGTCCAGCTGGATCAGATTCCGTAAGGACAATCATATATTTAATGCCTAGGCCACATTCAGCTGGAATCAGTAGGAGTGGCATAGTACTCTCACATCTGAGAATCCTATTTCAAAACAGAGGAGGATCTGCAGGCACTACAGAGTTACTGCCTTTGCATAACATTCAAGCAACAAATCATATTCATAGAGCCATCTAATTGCATTTAAGTACATATCAGGTTAAGCTCCAACTAGGTAAGGCAACGAGAGATGTAACAAAATCCTACAGGATAACACAGGGAGTCTCTGAGCAAGACTTGGGGGGGGGGGGGGGGGAATGAAATCCAGCTTTCATTGCCAAGTTATCATACCAGCCCTTGGATGAGGGCTCTCCAAGCCCTGGGATGTGACTGCTTTGGTTATCAGCTGCAAACCTTTTACTTCCTTTTGAGAAAAGGATAAACACAACAAATCTCCCCCCAAACCCCACCTCACCCAAGCACCTTTTCCCTTCTTCCTGGAGAACAAAGTGGGAATCTCTTCTTCCACCAAGTTACCAAACGTGTTCTCTCCACTGCTCAGAACAGAGCTGAGAACTGCCTCCAACCACATACTTCTCCTTCCAAGGGTGCTCATACAAGCCACGTTTGGGAGCCCCACCATCAGAGAGCCTTTATTCTTTGAAGCAGCAACTGGGACTTCGGCTTGGCCACACAGCACCAGACGAAAGGCCTTCTGCCTGCAACTCTGATCTGATCCACGCTTTTAACTACCCACCTGCCTCTTCTACCACATTCCTGTACAATGCAAGGAATACTCCATGAACCACAACAGGCAGAAGAAGGACAGACCCCCTCTACACCCAGCAAACATTGCAGCAGGATTCCTGTGCTTCCCGCACTCTCATCAACACTGTAACTAAGATTTTATTCACAGCTTGTACTCACCTCAGTGCTCCACCATCACAGCCTGCTAGCAAGCTATAAAATGTATCTACCACATGCTGCTAGTAAGACACAACAATCGTAACTATATTGGCTCTTCTTCCTTCACCTGGAAAAGAGGAAACAGGTTCTTACCTGCTGCCCTCAACCGTTGCTCTAGCTGTAAATACTTAAATCAGGATTCACCCTTATTGCTCCCAAACCTCTCAATCCTTTTAGCAGATGATACATTAGTTCTGCCTTGTGCCTAAGCACCCTTAGGAGGGTGCTTCTAATGGATAATTAACAGCACTTCATTATTCCTCCAGGTGCTCTGACTGCATTTATTTATGAATATTGCAGCACCACACGAAAAGCGCAGCTTGCCGTTGGGCCGGGAGGGCTAACGCAGCCCGCTCAGCCGCAGCACCCCCAACACAGCCGCGCCGAGCCCCTCATGGCGCCGAGGCCGCACCCCGAGCTGTGAGGAGACGGTGGAGCGGGAGCGCGAGCGCCAACCCCGCATGGCGCCAAACCCAACGGCCGCCTGGCGACCGCTAGCGGCCCCGCGGGAGCCCGCGCCCCCCACCGGCCGTGAGGTGAGGCGGCGGCCGCCATTTTCCCGACGAGGGCCGCACCAGGGAATGGGGCTCTCAGCCCTAAAATACCAGCCCCACCGCCCCTCATGGGCAAAGGTTGCTGCCTGACAGCGGAGAGAGGCTGACCGGCCGGCCGCTAAGCCAGGCGGGAGAAGTGGTGGAACCGTGATCCAGAACCGGGACACACCCACACCTAGCTTGGACAGAGGTATGGCTCCGGCCATTGGCGACGCCTTCACACACCCCTGCGCTGAAGGGAACATCGTGGCAAGGGAGAGGATGCCGGCGTATTGGTGGGTCTTTCTGCCTGGAGGGCTAAATGGGTCGCTGCAGGATAATGCTGAACCTCACCGCAGGACCGCAGGGCAGGATCCTGTGTTCACATAAAGCAGGGAAATACACCCTCAGGAAAGAGCACTAGCTGTAAAAACTGATTCCTTTGGCAAGAAGTAAGAGATTAACTGAGGAAAAGGGACTTAATCCTCTCTGACTCTCCTGGTAAGGCTGACCACAATGGCAGGGGGTGCACCATAACTTGTTTCCATGCAGGGCAGCAGCGCACAGTGGTTGAATGCAGGAGGAGCTGCACTGCAAACACTGGAAACCAACACAAGCATTTAGATGACAAGCGATTTTATTTTGCAAAACAATCACTATACAGCAACAAATACAATTGCAAATCGGATTGAAAAACATGAACTACCTACCACCAGCCATTCAAGAAATGCCTCTTATGGTAACAGGCTCTAGAATTATCAGAGAAAAACACAGGTTTGTAACAGCAGACTGTATTCCTTGACATCCCAGCATACAGCATGATTATTTGTTGGCTTTTTCTCTTTGCTAAAGTTGAAGTGGCTTTTATGTGCTTGACTTTTCCAAGTGTGAAACTAGTTTACCTTCCTGCAGTGGGAACTGCTGGAGTTGCAGAGGGAATTGCTTTAGCAATCAGTGAACTCAACAGATACCTAGGCTAGGAATCTACCTGCACTGATTTTCATAGCAAACATGATCTACTCTTCAAGGCATTTGCCTTTGAAGGCATATTTGTACTTGGGTTTCAAACGGTATTTGGTCCAGCATGGAAAAAACTTCTGCTCATGTGTGGTAGTCCACACAGGCTGCCTTTCGACTCCCTTTGGGTCGTGCATATAGGCAAACTTAGATCTGTAAGCAGTCACGATGAGGTTACTAATGTACCTTAGCAGCGTGTTGAATGGCTAATACCATTTACTGCCATACAGTGAAAATATACATAGCCCTTGTGGGCATACAATGTCCCTCATCAGTATCAGTTTTTTCCTTAACAGTTGCTGGACAGAGTTTTGCTCAATTTTGACTTCTTTCTGCTTGTGGTTACATAGAAACAGAACTCTGCAGATGGGGCAGAAGCACTTTTGTCTCTACAACTTGATGCATTATTAATTTGGGGCTCTCCCCTATCTATCCAAACAAGATTTCACCATTCCTTTTATCTGGATTATCTCTGCTTTGTTACAGGGTTGGGTCTTAAGCACCCAGCATACCTGCTGGCTCAACATGCCTGTGGAAAAGAAACAACGGATACGGGTTCCAGGAAGCTGGCCCTATCTTCTTTACTGGGCATTACGTATTTACAAACTGTTGTTTTAAAAACCAACACTCTTCTTGAGAAGATTAGTATAAGCATTTTGGTGAACATCTACAGTCATGTAACATCAGGGTTTTATTTATTTAACAGCACAAAACTCTTGATTTCTTTTCATCAGACTCCACGGTGTTCTAGCGTTCTGTCTATGGAAGTAGTATGATTATGATTACAAAGATCTTTGCTGAAATCAAGACAAGAAAGCTCATTTTAATGCATGAAATAAATGACTTGGAGTGTTACACCACTCTAACTTTGGACTCATAGGTGGATAAACTAAGCTTCATTTTCTAGAATTTGTCCATATTAAAGGGTAATAAAACCCTTGACTCCCTTGTTAACACTGTTCTCACTAGCTAGTGTTCAGGGAAGCTGAGGTTCAATAGTACTGTAGTTTCTCTCCCACATTGGCCAAAGGCATAAAACCCCCCCCACTCAAAGTTAATTTATAGTAATTGACAGTATGATCAGAGCAATGTGCTATGCTGTTGTTTTTCCTTTCCGTCTTTCTTGTTTTTTTCCAGGAAAAAGGGGAAGAGGCTTTTAATGTACCTCGACACCGTTTCCATGAAAGTTGTAATATTACTCTAACCAAAAGTATAACAAATACAAGGCAGAAATCCAGATGCACTTAACATGGTTCTAAACTCCCTGTCCTTTGTATAAAACAACTGACTTACAAGCAGTATTAGGTACTTTACAGTGTGAAAAAGCTTTTTGCAGAGCAGCAGTGTCATGTGTGGGGCTGTTAGGAGTTCATCATCAGTAAAATTTTTAGAGATGTAAGCTTTTTGTTTTGTCTTTGTGCTGCTGTGACAGCTTAGCCAAAATCCCCCTTTGGTCCACTGAACACTTACTGTCTAGTAACTGCATTTACTACCTGAATTTAATGGCGGGGAATCCTGTGCTATTAATTATTAGAATCCTTCTCCACAGACATAAAAATCTCTACGAGTCTTTTCAGATCAAAGCCCAACACACACACACGCACACATACAAATTAAGAAGGAAAAAGAACAGATCAAAAGCTTCCAACACACAACGTTAACCTAATACATGTATTGAGTATAGCTCAACTGACAGTGCAAAGTTTAGTTGAGAAATTTTAAAAGGAAAAGATTAAACAATCTGCAAGAATGTAAACTGGTCATTCCATATGTCTACTGTACATATATTACCAGCAGGTGGTTATCTGCTGATGCAGAATACTACCATATTACCTTCAGTGTTCTCTTAGTGTCCATAAGATAGTGTTGGAGTTCCCACAGGTAACTCCGCTGGATCACTTGTTTACGTATCTCTGCCTTCCATCTTTTATGCACACTTTTCCTTATACGTTTTATAGTCATTATGATCCCACTTTGCTCAGGTTTTAAGATGCCCTATTTACTGATGAACCACTATGGCAACCCAGTCTAGGGGGCTCACTTTATTTATCTACATACTACAACTTACAGGCATTTCTGTTATGTTTATCACTGTTATCTGAGTGCCTGAGTGTATAAGTCATCACTAAAAGAGTGGAAAAAAAAAATATTAATACTTTTTTTCTGCGTTTCAACTTTAGCAAAAGAAAAAAATAAATAAATCTAACATTCACTGTTACTACAGGAGTTAAAAAAAAACAAAATAACAAAACAAGACCAACCAACCAAAATAGAAAATAAGAAAGGAAAAAAAACCAAACAACCAACCCAGAACCAAACTATTGTGGATTTTTTTTTTTTTATAATTCAGAATCCAAACTCAGCCATCTTTAGAGACCCTTTTACAAACATCCGGACCCCACAAAAATCATACCTTTGTGAAGAAAGGGAGAGAAGGGAAGAAGGAAGGAATCCTTTTTCTAGCATCACAGAAGAGACTTGCATCTGGCACTAAAACAGGGTCACGGCTTTTAGTTGTTACAGAAAGCAACTTCATGCTAAAATTTTCATCTTTTTTTTAAATGTATTCTTACGAATAGGGAAAAAAAACCCTGCTAACATCTACTTTTACATACCTAAAATTGCAACACCAAAGGGTGCAAGAGACACAGATACTGTGAATAAAGAAGTAGAATATTCAAGTATATGAGGAGGGTGTATCACAAATGGCCACAGAGAAATATATATATATCTATAATACTGTATCAAACAGATGGAAAGGATGTGAAACCGGTGGTGCATACACAAATCTAGCCGCTTAACCAACTTTCTAATCAGACACAAGTCTGTTGGGGTGGAAGTGCTGCTTTCAACAGCTTTATTACGGCACTTCCCCAAGCATGGTTTGAATGTTTTCAACTACTACTTTTAGTTATTAGTTAAATAATTTATTGGCTTTTCAGCTATACACTGACATAATTAACCAGGCCCCCAAAAAATGTTAATAATTTAATTCAACTTTTGTTCTACTCATTTATACAAAATAACACCTTTTTTTTTTTTAATTAAACTTGAATTTCTCTACATGCCCTTCCTTCTGCTAAGCAAACTGTTCATTTGACCTGTCATAACTTACAATGGGCAATTTCTTTCATTTCCCCAGCTATCAACAGAACAGTGAAATGAGCAACTTGGGATATTAACAAGGCTCTTCAGAAAGAGGTGGATGGCCTTCAGGCACATGAAAGGTAAAAATGCATTTTATCATAGTACGGTACTCCATGCAAGACAGAGCAGAGCAACAATAATTGTCCAATGTAACATACTGCAGTTGTATTACCCATATAAAGCCAGTGTCTTCCTGTTGTAAATGGAGATCAGGCCAATTTCTGCATCTATTTAATTATATTTTTTTCTGTTTTTTTTAACTGTATGGTAACTACAAGTCTTGGGATGTGACTTTGTTTTAGACATGATAAAGGATGAATGTAACACCTGCTCTGAGCCCATTCCTGCCAAGAGCTCATGCCTAGATATTATTACTTCATACAATGCGAAATGAGCAGATTCATAAGCCCTGCTTAGCAAGGGCTGCCGTGACATCTTCAGCAAGGGTAGCAAGCTGGGGCGACTCAAGCAGGTTGATGCTTCCAGAGGATGAGACGTTGCTGAGTCTGCGTGGTGAAGCCACGCTGGACCTGCCTGGTGACTGTGTGATGATCTCAGCCCCGTGATCGACACGGGCTTTAGCGTGCTCTCTGAAGTTTAGCTTCTGGCTGTCAATCTGCTCCAGGAAAGCAAAGAATTTAACACATTATATATTCACAGTATCACAGTATGTTAGAGATTGGAAGGGACCTCGAAAGATCATCTAGTCCAATCCCCCTGCCGGAGCAGGAACACCTAGATAATGTTACACAGGAATGTGTCCAGGTGGGTTTTGAATGTCTCCAGGGAAGGAGACTCCACAACCTCCCTGGGCAGCCTGTTCCAGTGTTCCGTCACCCTCACTGAGAAGAAGTTTCTTCTCAAGTTTAAGTGGAACCTCTTGTGTTCCAGTTTGTACCCATTACCCCTTGTCCTATCATTGTTTGCCACTGAGTAGAGCCTGGCTCCGTCCTCGTGACACTCCCCCTTTATATATTTATAGACACTGATAAGGTCACCCCTCAGTCTCCTCTTCTCCAAACTATAGAGACCAAATTCACCAAATTATTTTGTTATAGATCATCATTTGGGTCTTATTTTGTTTACTTTTAAGAACTCTTACAATGATTGAAGCTTCTTCACTCCTTAGAATAATTGAAACTGAAGATTTTGCACCTTGCTTAATATATACTAGTTTACTATGTTACATTCTCTTACTATTTCTGTCTCGGATGGATGGATGCTTTAATGAGCAGTACCATTGTCCCTAGTTCTATGAATTTAATATACATTTTATGGGCATTATGATTTGTTTCTGAAATATGTATTTTCAAATGTCTGTGGGAGTAATCTTACTTTCAAGATGTTTTCCTCCTGTTTCACAAAGCAGCCCTGATACATACTACAAACTTACTAGATCATACTGTACAACAGTCCCAAACAAGGTTCATCTTTATGGGGAAAGCCAGTGCACAAACTACAAGATGTTGCACTTTAAGATTCACTCTCAGCTTAGATGTGAATGTGAGACTGGTCATTCCAAATTCCAAAGGGAACAAACATCATGTGAGTGCGCTTGAAGGAGAACAAACAGATGTTTCCTACTCAATTCAGAGCCATCACTGAATTCACAGCTCTGATCATTTCACTGGGTGAGGGGCACAGTGGTGGCCTTTTCTCTGATGGCTGTCCTCTTACCTTGACGTTACCACCACCAGGTACGTGGTGGGCATTTTCCAGTGAACCAACTTTAGCCTGAGCTTTTTCTTTGAAATCCAGTTTCACGCTCTCGATTTTCACACGCCCGCCTCCTGTGCCAGGAAATGAAATATTGAGTAAGAGGCTGGAACGTCTCAGAAAGTCTGACTTGATGCACATGGATGCTCTCACATTACTTCCCTTTTAGTTGAGTTCTAATGGTTTTAGAGAAGCACAGAATACCATGCTGCATGTTCGGTAAAACATAAAATCTTCAACACATATTCAAACTATAAGGATGTGCTGTAGCCCTACTGATTTTCATGGGATTTAAGCAGATGCTTGAGTATTTTGCTGACTTCAGTCTGCATTTCAATATCTTATCAGACTAACATTATGCCACAGCAGCATCCTTCTGCATTAATTTTATCTCCTCTCTAAAGCAGGTGGCCCCATACCTTTATGGCTTTATATATCTAGTCAATGAGAGGTAAGACTATTATTTTTATTTGCAAAGTGTATTTACTTTCTCTTAGACTATAAAAGAGAATGGTATCATCCATGATTTCTCTTTCACATAACAGGATTAGGTCTTTGCTTTGTCCCACATCCCAGAAATTCCTACTATACCTGGCTTGTGGTGGATATTCTTGAGCGAGCCACACTTGGAAGTCACATGACTCAAGTCAATCTTCTTGGTTACAATTTGTACCTGTCAAACGCACACACACACAAATTACAGGTATGAAGAGAGTCAAATAAATTAAAATCCAAGCCCTGCAGAGGAAGAGCCCAAGCCTCTACAAACCACTGAAAAAAGAGAGATGGTTAGTAGAAAACAGACAATGCCACAAAGGGGGAAACACCTGGATTAATACAGCAAGCTTCCTTCCCACGTATGGAATGACAGAGCTGGGTTAAGCTTTACTATCAGCAGAACAAAGAGAAGGACAAAGCAGATCAGCTTGTGAGTTCTTTCTGACATGTTTCTGAGCCTCCTCTTGGGGTGGATGCTGCAAAGCCATGCATGCAGCAGGACCCATCCGTTTGTTTCTGCTCTTGAATGTGCATTGTGGCAACCTTTTTTCCTCTCTCCTATCTGTTTCATACTTTTCTGCATTCATATACGGTATGTATTCATGTCAGTCCACTATGGAAGGTCATGTGTGACTCCTGCAGCTGTACCTGAGCTGGTTGGTGTTCATCCAGCTGCTGGCTTGGTGGTGCTTACCCAAGAGCAGCAGCACTGCTACACTTAGTCCAGCAGCAGCACAGGCACCCTCCTTCCCCCTGCTGCTCGCTGCCTTACTGTTGGCTGCATTGCCATGATTGTGCTGAGCCCAGCTCAGGAACAGCCACAGAGCCACACTGCTGCCTTGCTACATTCCCAAACACCTTCCAGATGCAGCCTACAATCACAGTGACTGCGGTAGCAGGTGGCAGCCCCTCCAGGCCAGACAGGAGCTCCAGGGTAACTACAATGCCATTGGTTTGCTCACATCACCAGCAATGAGTTAAGCCAGCACTGGTGGCTGTACTGAATCTGTTTGGATCAGACATGTCCACACCATCAGCTCTTCCATCTCAGAGGAGATCATTTCCATCAGGAGGGTCATAGCTTCCTTAAGCTCTTCCTTAAGCTGTTCCAGTGAACTGAGAGGTGTCTGGTCAAACCCTGAGCAACCTCAATTTGTCACACTGGAATAATGCTGTGGCATTAGCACTCAGCATGCTGGCCCATCGCACCCTCTCTAAGCTTTCTTTATTCTTATGTTCTGTTTTACTTCTTTCTCTCTGATGGATGCATATAACTGAACGGTTAGCTGAGGAAGGACTGAGGCACTGGAAGATGCCCAGCTGTGAGGCTGCAGTCTCACTGTGAGCTGTAGTCTCTGTTTGGAAATTACTTTCTTGGGCCACTCCCATAAAAGGCACTGAATCATTTCTGCTCACACTGGACTGTTACTGTCAGCACCCTTGGGCGTTCAGAGATCATTCTTCTATTCTCATTTCCATTGCTCATCCAAGTTCTGGGAATGTGTTGTGCTCTATGCAGAAAGATCAGGAGGCTGCCATTGCATACACAGGGCTCACAGGACTACCAGACCAGACTCACGTAAAACAGTAGCAAGAAGGAAAGTAGTGCTCAGAGGAAGGGAGACAGAGGGGTCTGGCTGTGCTAGGCAGGTCACCACAGTGGAGATGCCTGTTCACAGGGTGTCCATACTACTTACATTTCCTCCCCCTGCAGAATGTTTGATGTTATCTCTGGAACCACAGCGGGATTGAATATCACTAAAATCGATCTTCTTGTTTAAAATCCTAACCTAAAAGGAATTGGAGGTAACTTACTATATACCATACGTACACTCCATCAGGGTGCAGGACAAGGGAGCCAGGGTAATTTTGCCTCCTGCTGTGACTCCTTCCCACTTGTATTGAAGTGTAAGAAAGCAAACCATGCCAATCTCTATGCTTAGTACGCTAACACAGCATATGTAAATACACTATGCTGCTCTCTTTCTACTTTACAAAGTGGTGGTGAAATACAAAGGGGGAAGTTTTTATACTGGGAGATAAGAGAGGTGGCTTTTGCCTGAAAACCTCAAAGAACTCCTTGCTTGCCAGGACTGGATAGTCCTTGGACAGCCTGTCCTAGGCTGTTTTGAGTGATGTCCATATTTCTGCTGGACCAGCCACAAGGAAAAGATGGAAACCCTCCTTCCCACAGCTCAGTACTCTAAGATTTCATGCAGAAATCCCAGATCCAGCCAGCTCAGGCACAGGTCAAAATCCTAAGGTATTTTGCCCCTCCTGCCATACAGTCATAACAGCAGCTCATAGAACAGATCATAGTGTGTCCTGTGAAAGGGGACTGACAAAATTAATTAAACTGAAGTTAGAGCTCTCTACTGCTCTCTGTCTTTAATGTCATCTACTAATGGGCAATGCAGAAAACAACACCTGGAAACTTACAGCTGCAATCACCACTTTCTGATTTCTGGTGCTTCTCCCCTGTGTTCCGTGTTTCTGGCAGAACAAGTACCCCACTGTCCCTTGATGGTGCGAGCCTCCTTTACAGACACTAGGAGCCTGCATTTTTTTTTGTCACCTTAGCTGCACCACAGGCATATGACCGTGCCTGGAGGTGAACTCCGCAAAGGCCTGGCCATGCTGTCCTCAGTGTTACCCCCATCTCGAACTTCATCTTGACCCCCACGTCAAAGCAGTTCCTCCACCTGGCAGAACTCAGGTTCCAGCACCAACTGCCCCCCCCCCCAGGAATGATATGCTGCTGGCCAGCAGTTATGAGTAGGCAGGGACAGCTGGGTGCAAGGTGCACACATAAGTGACACCACTTCCAGACTTCTTCCTGCGCAGGAGCACAGGATTGTGCTCACCAGTATTAAGCTTTTCAGGTGCGTGAGAAGGTGTTTTTGGCCAAGGCTGCACCTGCTTTCATTGTACCAGGAGGTTTTAATTACTCAAAGAGTGCCACCCATGCAGCTTATTCTTTCTCTGAGTTAAATAAGTGTTAGGTTGGGTTTTATTTATCTCTATGTTATTAATATACAATATGAATTTACACTCTTTACAGAAAGCCACAGAATTCTGGGGGTTGTCTCTTCATTTTGCTAAATGGCACTTGTAGAGCCTTCACTGGCATACTGCTTAGCACAGTCCTGTTGGCTGCTATTGTAGGTAAACTTAAAGTGACTGATACTGAGATAAGAGAAAGGGAAGGATACATGGGGGTACCTTAGTGTGGCTTCTTCCACTCCAGAAACACAAAGCAGCTGCAAAGGAGCTAAAGTGGCCAGTCGGAGAACCCTGTGCAGTTTCTGCTGCCTGGCTTCAGGTTCCCAAACTGCTCCATGCTCCCTGATAAATCTGAGACGTATCACTCCCTCTGTGCCTCACCTCTCCATACTAGGACAAGACTATTTACCCCCTTAGAGGGATATCAGATTTTGCAGCTCCCAGCTCTTGCAGTGGGGACATCATGTTTTGATAATGAGTCAAATCCCTCTGGCACTAAGCACTTAAGCCCAGTAAGAAAGAAGAAATCTTCAGAGGGTCCAACTTTGCAGCTAATGCGAAGAATTTCTTCACAGCAAGCTGTTTTCATGGGTCCCCCTCATTACATATAAACACTAAATCAGTCAGACTATTAGGATGTTAAGTGTTCTCTGGCTTTAACTGGCAAAGATCTATGGTGATGGCATGCTTAGCAATAAGGGTGATGACAACACCAGAAAACACAACTGGTAGGTCACCTTCAGACGGGTGTCTTCAGTAGGCAAACAGATTTCTGTTTTCCTCCCTCCTATCTACTTAATCCATCCAAGTAAACCAATATATACTGAAACATGAAAGCAAATGCCTTTCGAGTTTTATTCTTGTGCTTTCTCTCAATAGCCTATTTGTTTAAAAATGTACCTCAGTACTATACAAGACAGGTGTCACATCAGTTACAGAAACACACGTCTGATGTGGTGTCAGATCTGGCTCCCAGGGAGCTTCAGGCCAGACACAACTGGGCAAAACAGAAAGCCTTCCTAGCACTTTATGAGCACATACCTCAGCAATGGATCAGCACCACCTCTTTGCAATGGCCACAGGGGTGCCTTTGCTCTGAAAATGCTGATGTAGGGGACATGACAAGACCTTAGTGCTGCCTCAGCTCAGAGGCCTGTAGCTTAAAATGGACCCAAAGCAAGGTGGTAAGTTGAGATGGTGCCTTTGATCAAGTGCCTAAAGGCTGATTTGCACCCACAAGTCTGGAAGTTTATGAGTTTCCTGGCCCATGGACCTGGCTAGCAGATCTGTAAAGGACCAATCATCTCAATTATCCTCTGTGTCTCACTGGGTGAAATATGCCCTTGTGTAGAAGGGCCAGCAGGAGACCTATGTGTCATTTATATCCTGTTCTTAGGGCTGAAGTGAGCTGCGTGATGTGTATGTGCTGTGCTGGTCCTCTGGCACAGGGAAGAACTGCACTGATCCAAGGTTTTCTCTGATGATCTGTTTCTTCCTTTCCTGGATTATATCAATATCCCTGCACATATTTAAATCATGACTACCTTCTATAACTAAAGAATTCCACAACTACTGGAACCTTGTTTACTGTAGACTATGGCTTTAAACTGCTTAATCCCTCCATCCTATATTCTTCAGCAAGCCCTATTCTCTCTTGCCAACAGTATCTCCCAGATTTTTTCTCAGGTTTGATAGACAGGGCAAACAGACACCAGTACACAACCAGCTAGCTTTTTGTTGTCTCTGATTAAGGAGAAGGGCTGAGTTATCACTGCCTTTAACCCAACGACTGCATTATGCTGAATCTCTGTTTTGTACCCAGTCAACAACTATCACCCAACTTGGAGGGACTCCCTGTGTTTCTAACCACTGCTCCCTTGCCAGCACTGGTTGAAACTGGCTAACAGCTTACAAATGATTTGAGGATGGCTAAGATTGCCAGCCAGACAGCATGACTGCACAAACTTTGTTTCCTTTGAGAAATCAGACTGTAAACATGAGAGGGAAAGTACCAGAGAGGGACAGGAACTATTTAGGTTAAAGAGAAACTTTGTCTTGCAAACAAAGAATATAAAGTGACTGAATTATTTGAAGCTGGAATCTAGAGGGAAATTTGTAACTGTCAGAGAAGGGAAGCTCTGGAACTGCCTCCTAAAGGAACAGAGGTATGACAATAAAATGATAAACTTTTATGATGGCACTTGATGAAAGGAATTAGATTATGCAGCTCTCTGTGACAGAGGCAGCATGAACACCATGACTCACCAGGGAGGTCTCTGTGCTCCTGAATGTGTATGTACGTCTTCTGTGGGGGTGGAAGTGTGGTAGGGATGTACATACATGCACCTCAATTGTGCTGCACATTAAAAGAAAGATGAAGCCCGCTTATGCTCTCATTCAGGAAAGGGAACATCGTAGTCTGTGGCAGAAACAGGGCTGTTTTCTATTCATGCTCACTAAACATTCCAACAAGATAATGTCCTGACAGGGTCCCTCACAGCTCTTGCACTAACCTGCCAGTCTGAAATGGGTACATTCTCTCCTGATCTGATGCTGGTTTGCCCAGATATGCCAGACAGGGCCTGGAAGTCAGGATTTTGATCTGGACCAAGATGAGGTTCCTCAGCATTTGTCATATCCATGTAAAGTTAAACCACAGTGGAAAAATTAAGCCTTACAGACAATGTGGGATTTATACCACAAAACCACACTGACCAAGGAAAAATCAGCTTCTGTCTGAAGCTCTGAAAGTCTGACAGACTTTCTCGCCAACTCTGTCCTCTGATGACTCCTAAGCAATGGTCCAGTACTGAAGCCTAGGGCAGACTGTGTGCTGATGTTGCACATAGCATAGCCTCAGTGACTCACTACTTCTAGGAGTCCCCAGCAGGAATCAGATACCGTGCTTCAGCACCTTCTGTGCTGTTTGAATGCTATCTATACTGGGAGATGCAGGGCATGGGTAGGAAACCGAACATATACCAGTGCACATAGTATGGGAAATGGACAGGAAGAATTAGAAATCCATGTGCAGTCACTGGGCTTTGATCTGGCTGCAATTCCAGAGACATGGTGGCATAGCTGGTGTGACTGGAATGTTGTCATGAATGGCTACATGTGTTTTAGGAAAGACAGGCCAGGAAGGCGAGGTGGTGGAGTTGTCCTTTATGTGAGAGAACACCTGGAATGTCTGGAACTTTGTCTCAGGGTGGATGATGAGTGAGTCAAGGAGCAGCCTCACAATCACAGGCTCTGGTTCTCATGGGAGACTTCAATCACCCTGACATCTGCTGGAGGCAGACATCTGCTGGAGGAACAATCAATGTGGGAGATTCCTAGAAAGCACTGATAACTTTCTGATACAGGTGATGCAGGAACCAGCAAGGAAAGGTGTGCTGCTGGACCTTATACTAATAAACAAGGAAGGACCGGCTGGTGATGTGAAAATTGGGGGAACCTGGGCTACAGCAACCATGAAATCTTGGAGTTCAGTATCATGCAAGGACGAAGCTGGGCAATAAGATCATAACCCTGGACTTCAGGAGAGCTAACTTTGGACTCTTCAGAGGCCTTCTTGGAGAATCCCATGGGAATGGGCCCTAAAAGGAAGAAGGGTCCTTGAGAGCTGGTTAATATTCAAGGATCACTTCCTCCAGGCTCAAGAACAGTACAACCCCACAAGCAAGAAACTGAGCAAAGGGGACAGGAGACCTGTATGGATAATGTGGAACTTCTGTGAAAACTCAAGAGACAAGCAGGAGACAGGAGATGGAAGCAGGGACAGGCA